GTGGGACAAAGTGAAGTAATTCGCATAAAATGCAAGACGCAGAAGTTGAAAATCAAGTGTTTCCTTTGTTCTTTTGAAACAGAATGCTTATCGATTTAATTTTTGATCTAATTATATTTGTAATCATTTGAATAGGATTATTTTAATTCGTATCTTTGAAATCAGATATGAAGATATTGAATTTTGAAAATGGAAAAAGTCCGATAATTTTATTTTCACGTAATTTAGATTTTTTGAATCAGATTATTGTTATACAAATCACATTGTAGATTCAAGTTTGTTGTATTTCGAAAGATATTTTTATTGCTTAATTCTTTCAAAAGTCTTCTTACCTCCTAATGTTCTCGAGTGGCTGATGTTTTATGATTATATGAAGCTACATCAGTTTCTTCGTATTCAATAACAAAATCTATTTACAAATTTAGCAATCGATCTTGATAGAAATCAATAAATTTAGTTCATCTCTTAAGTATTTTAAATTATTCAAATACATTTATAATCACGTTTAAGTTGGTTATGCAGAATTTATACTTATCAAGTGCTTCTCTTTTAAATCCTCCTCAAACTCGAGTAATCATCAATCGGTAACCATATTATCTTTGGTAAGAAAAAAAAAAACATCCTAACATCATAGCATTAGAATCATGCATACAGGTTTAAATTCTTCTCGGGAAAGCTCAAATGCACGCTCGGAACACCTTACGTAGATTATATCAGCATTTTAGAAAATTCTTTAAAAATTATCTCAGTCGATACACTGACCAATCTCTCTTACATTGTGTTGGAATTCAGGAAGGGGTTTCTATAGAAGAAAGAAAGAGAGAAAAAGAGAGAGATTGTGAGACTGGTGACCCGGGTGCAATGTCGTATCACCGTGGGGGCCAGGCGGGCGCCGTAGCAGTTTCATACAGCACCAGTCCAATGGCACCGCATTCTCCTAGCAGACGATGTTCCAGCAATAACAGCGGCAACAACAGTTCCGCTATTGGCACCTCCACCTCGAAGCTGAACACCTACAGATCTACTGCTTCCTCGTCGATCTTAGATCGACCAACAAATTTCTACTCGACATCGTCGTCGACCTCATCGTCGTCGGGCAGCTCGGGCTTTCGTTCGAACTATACGACCGAGTACAGGCGATCCTACTGCCCATCAGGCAGGTGAGTTTCTTATCCTCTTTCGACAAATTCTTTCTTCTCCATGTGTGTTCCCCCCCCTGTTCAGGATTCTGTTAATGGATTCCAAGGATCGGCAATCACGTGCAGTTTGGTCGGAATTTAGGAACAAAGATGTCTAACCCTTTGTTGACTATTAATTTGAAATAACGACACGCGATGATTTCAAATATTTTCTGATGTTTTATTATTATCTGATTCATCGGTTGAAAGTATATTAATTGTATTTGTCCCATTTGAAATGTTTAAGATACGTGCGCAAAGGGTTGGTTCTTTCGGTGTATTGCGTGGAATATTGATACTGAAAAGATGAAAATTGAAAGAAGTCTAATAAAGAGGAAAGTTAGTTTAAAGAAGAAGATATTTTATTACCGTCGATACTCCGTTCATGGACGAATTTACTTCCCTCAATTATTCTTCTTCTCAATTATTTTGTCTCTTTGGATCATTAAGATTGTTTTCTTTATTACTCGAATGATCTTAAGAAAGCGATTGATTACACACGCACAAGGGCATTGTGCACATTTCATATCGCATACAAAATTTAATTCATAATTATATAGCGTGCTGCCGATCCTCAATTTCCTGACAATATACAGAGATAAAGGAATTGTTAATTAAATGGTTGATACTCGATCGGCCCTACAGTTTCTACTCATCGACGGGTACGAGCATCCGAAGGAGTTACTTATCGGAATACAACCGGTCTCGCTGCTCACCCACAAGGTGAGCAATCCCCATAAACAGGGGTATAAGGCAGTCGGGGTCAGTAGCTACAAGATCAAGGCCTCGATAAGTTTCTATCGATTTTATGCATATTTCCTTGATTTCTCCCATTTCCAGTTACAATTTGATTAAATAATTATCTTTCTCTCTGGTTTAACGCTCTGCCGATTTACTTTTTTTTGAGATTTATTTTTCTGCTGGTATCGTAATATGGCGAGATCCTAAATTATGGAATCAAGTAATAACAATACAGCATATGTAATTTTGTATAATTTTTCTTTTGTGAATTCTGAATTTTACAATATATGTTCAATTAAAGTTAAATTATATAGCTGTAACTTTAATCGAGGCTTTGGATTCTTATTTTCTCAAATTTTTGTTAACTCACTTTGAAATTCATATATATATATATATACTATTTTTTTAACAATTGATCGATTTATAATATCTGTCACTAATAATTTCTATTTACTTTTTTCTTATTTACTTTCAATATTATATATTATAACACGATCAATAATATAAATGCTCTAATCACAATCCAAAAATATTGAATGAAATTTAAAAATTTTCTTCAAATTTTTGTGCTCGTTTGATCATATAAAACATGCAACGTTATGCCCTTGCTAAATCATAAAGATTCTATTTTTATATAACATATTAATATATCTATGTAAAATAATGCAAAAGTAATATAATATATAAATTGTTTCTTTTTATTTAGATTTAATTCTTTTTATTTAAAAAAATGTCGTGTAGATATGTATTTGAATTAAAATTTTAATCTGCTTTGTTTCTACATTATCACTTTTTGATACATATATTTGTTATATTTTAACTGAAATAAAATGCAAATATTATTTATATCCTTACTGCTTGATGCATGACTAACACCCACATTTAGAATGAAAATTTTCAAATGTTAGGAAAAAAATCTGCGTTACGATTGCTGAGAGTGCTAATTATATTGTGCTGTCGGCAGAGCGTTTAAAGCAACATAATAGCTCTTGTTGCTCAAAGAGTATATAATTATTCGAGACGATGGTGAAATTCCCCCGATCTTCTCTCCCTTTCTATCTATTTTTCGTGTCAATCACGTTTCTCTGTTGCGTAGAATATGACTAGAAACTTTGGATAAAATAGTTATGGGATGCATATTATGAACGCATCATATATAATGGGCAACAGGTATTCCAACAACACCTTTTACAATGCGTCAATTACTTTTGTCCGTGTCACAATGATCCAATTAGGGAGGTGCGGCGCATAAGTCCCCATTTCTATGGTATGGTCGAGTTGACGGCAAAGGTCGAGGTCGATGGTAAATAGGTACAAACTTGCATTGGCAGTCTCAGAACTAGTTATATATAATTCCATGGGAAATCTTGTCTGTCCACTTGCCGTTCATGCAACATAATATGTATTTCGTTTGTCCTTTGAACTAAAAATTTATCCTTTTTTTTTATTGTAACATTGAATGTATATATGTATATATATATATATAATTAGAGTCCTCAGATTTGTCAATCGCATTGTAACTAAAAAACACATAAAATGACAATAATTGGATATAGTTCTTTTTCTAATTTCTATTTTCAAAGTTTTCTAATCTGCTAACAACATGATATAATCAAAATTGTTCGATGGAATATAATACATCTGGTAATCTCATAAATACATTGGAGGTTCATAGAGAAATTATAAAATATAAATCGTTATTAAATGCTATTATTATATTATTATTATTATTATTATTATTATTAAAGATCACGAGATAAGAAATTAATGCAACAAAATAGAAAAAAAAAAATCTATTACGGATAAATGTTATAATATACCTGTACAAAATTTTCAAATCACCTAACTAATCGATATAAAAATGTTTAGAAGCTAGGGCAAAGTCCAATCCCGATGGCACGAAACAACTGTGGAGATAAACAATCGCAATGAATATAAATATAGTACATCGTAGTACAGGTTGATCGCGATTGACACGATGGAAGCGTGGTGGAAGACCTTGACCTCGCTTCGAATTGTCTTCTGGTGTGGCGAGACAAAGAGAGAAAGACATTTACTTTCTCTTCGACATCTCGTCTCATTTTACCGCAATAAGATATCTAGCGCACGTGTTCGCGCGCGCGCGCGCGAAAGATGCGTGTATATTTTAAATATCTAGTGCGTGTTCCCGACACTGTTTCCAAATCCACGAACGGTGCCACGTATCTGATTTAGTAACCTCCAAACCTCGAAGAAGATCTGGTCAGCATGTAGACCAGCGACATCGACCTAACCGTTCATATATCGATTTCTTTTCATCTGTTCCACCGAGAGAATTATTTTTGTACTCATGGATCATTTTATATTTTCTTAATCTTCCTATTCTTGAGATTTGAACAGCTCTTTGTTTTGCATCCATCCTTCCGTTAACGTTTTGTTACGAATACAACAAACGATTTTACTTGATTTTAGAAGAAGAATAATTTAGTATTTTAGAAATAATACTAGAAATCCTAGAATTGTTAAAGTAATTAAAAAGAGATTAAGTGTTAATAATTGGTAAAATTTGCTTCCCAATTAAGATTTATTTTATTATTAATTATTTAATAACTAACGCACGCATACAAAGAGAAATTGCTTATTCATTTAGTGTGATTTGTGCGTGCGTGTGTTTACGAACGTGTTTCCCGTTGTTGGCCGGTGATTACGTAATTCGAAGAAAGAGAGGGTAGTCCTTGGCCGCGGGCCCAGCCAAATGAAAAGGATGTTCGCAATATTCACATTGACTGAACGTTTGCAGGTCAGTTTCGTCGTCGGCATACAACAGTACGGGTAGCGGTAGTGGTACAGCTACGAATGTGACGACAAACGGAACCAGCGGAACTAGATTCGGCTTGTCCACATCGTCGTCCTCATCGAGCATCTCTGCCGGCAGTTCGTCCAGAGATAGAGGGATCCCAGAATCCTCGTCTAGGCTAGAAATAACGGCGGATTTGATCAGGTATTCGCCATCTGGTTATATACCGAATATCCGTCAAACGACCAGCACCACTGGCAGCACTAGCGGAATCCATCATCATCATCACCATCATCATCATCAGTGGAAGCACCATTCGACCGGTTCGTCGTTGACGGAGTTGTTCGGTGGTGACGATCGTGATATAGCCGTCGAACGTACCGGCAGAGATCATCGTCCAGAGTCGTCGCTCTCCTCGTCCTCCTCGTCATCTTCCTGCGCCGTTGGTGGTGCACTCTGGTCCAGGTCGAAGAGAAGGCCACTGTCCAGCAGCACGGTGCTCAACAGCGGGCATGCACGCGCGGACAGTGCCGCGTCGCCTGGCGAGGTAACGATTAACGAGCGCGGCACGATCCGCGATCTAGACGAGGACGACGACGACGACGATGACGATGACAACAACGATGACGAGGACGACAATAACACCGACGACGATCAACACAACAACAACGGCAATAATGGGAATAACGGCAGCGGTGCTGAGGACACCTGTGATTCCGGCCGATATGGGTTGAACGATAACGACCGCGACCGAGACCACGACCACGACCGCAACCACGACAGCGATGACAAGGACGATGACGACGAGGACGACGAAGACAACAAGCTGAACAACCGGCATCATCGCCAACAACAGCAGCAACGCGGTGCTGCCCATCGGATCGACGAGGTTTCACCAGCTAAGCGTAACCTCTTGTCGTCTATTCCCGGTGGCGGTGCTGGCGGTGCTGGTTTGATCGGTGTTAAGCTCGACTTGCTCACTAACCTAGCCACTAATCCGAGTAACGGCGAACTGCTGATTAACAACAACGCTCAGAAGATTGTCCAAGGTGTTGAAGAAAAGGAGGAAGACGTTGAGATCAAGGACGAGACTGGAAGCCGTGGTGAGGTATCAATACACGGGATCAACGACGCTGCAACCATCGACGCGATTGCGTTCCTCCGTGGTGGTCGTACCGGGGATCCAGAGAGTCTCGAACACGGTGAGGAGCAACGGACCGCGTCTACCTCGTACGATATCGATCAGACCGGGTTCGTAGGCGGCATTACGCCGCCCATCTTGCAAAACGGCGTGGCGGGAAGACCGTCCGGTACTTATGGGGACGACCCATCCGTGCCTTCTACATCCAGGAGACCGGATGGTCACTTCTCGGGGACAAACACTGCCAGTAATCTGACTTCCTCGTCACCCACCGCACCGTCCACGGCTCATCAAAATCTCTATCGCGGGATCGCCGATCAGTTTGTGAGTGTTCCCAAGTAATTTTCGTTAATTAATCAGTGGATGGATATCTCTCTGGTAGTCTCTTCTCTTCGCCAAACTTTTATTTATCGGAACATCGATAAATGTGTGTTCTAAGAAAGAGTATACAGTCCGCACAAATATATATCATCGAGGTGCATCGAGTTTCAATTGAGTTCTGCATTTTTTTTTTTCTTCTCTTTTTTTATAAGTATATTATAGGTATTTTTCCATTTTTCAACGGCTCTTTTTCTATTTTAAATCTTTCGTTTCATTCTTATGTTCTATTATTAAAAAATATCTGTCATTCAATGGCAAATAGTAATACTAAACGCGGCCAAAAACGTACCGCCATCTTTTCAATGTATATTATTATGTATGCATCACTGTATTTCATGACTCGCCATTTTTTCGACTTATAGAGAGTTCAGTGGCTCGTAACGACACTTTAGTGATATATATATATATATATATATATATATATATATATATATATATATATATATATATAT